TGGAGGCGTTCGCCACTATGGACAAGGACATGGTCGCCAAAACGTGTGACTCATTTCGCGCCCGCCTTGAGATGGTCGTCGCCACCGCCGGCGGTTACATTGAAAAATAATGTAGTATGTAACTCTAACTGTTGCTAAATAAACTGTCGGGTCTCTGCATATACACCTTTTGTTTTTATTGCCTATTTCATTTTCTTTTTGTCAAGTATCAGATTTTGCTGCAGCACCCCGCAGGAAAGCGATATTTCCAAGAGAAGGAATTACTGGCGTAGAATCTGCGGCTATTGTCGTTGAAGTATTTATTTTATTTCTTTTATTTTTCGGCAAGGGGAGTAACAGTCGCTTCTGTAGCATATGAAGGATCACTAGTTGGCATGAATATAGTCTTTATTTGAAGGATTCTTGGATATAATTAGTACCTTTTCAAAAAACACCTTATCCAAGGACACTAATTCTCAGCACATGAACATGACATCATCATCAACTATGAAGGGTCCTGTAAGTTTCTTGTCTACAATGCGTCGTCACAATATTATTCGACCTGCCCACGTCTATATTGCTTTAGGCTTACGACCACATCACGTCGAGCCTGATCAGTACCCAGATGGGTGACTTCATGCTAATACGAGTTGCTGTAAGCTTGGATCTAGCTCAGTGCTTGGGTTGGTTAAAGAACACACAAAGGGTTGGTAAACCGTAAATAACAAAAACAATCATTTAATATGGATAGAAGGCATAAAATGTGACTTCAGACATTTGAACTGTGAGGGCTTGCGGCCATATAGCGTTAAAATACTGGTTCTCATATGATCACCGAAGTTAAGCAACCTCCTAGCCTGGTCAGTACCTAGATGGGTAACTGTTCGGGAATAGAAGGTGCTTGGATGTGCGGGTTATATAATGAATGACGGCTTACGCGCAAATACCCTTAGTACGAAAGGTACGAAATCACTTCATCCCCCCAGTAAGACATGTATCACTAAATTATTATTACCTAAAAAATAATCTAAAATTTTTTTCTAGCTTTAAATACCCTGGAAAGGGTTGATAATCAGTAAAAAAGGAATTAATCAAATACTGATTAGCTACAAAGGCATGTCTTTTAGATTTATTTACTTTCTGTGAAAGATAAATGTATAGAAACTACTGTGAACACAAAGTGAGGGATCAATTGAAATATTGAATTTAACATAGAATTGATCCCCCTCTTTATATCCACATGATAATTTTTTTGTTTGCTTATCAAATTTTGATTAAGTATGAATCCATCTCTTCTCCCCTAGCTATGGGTTAATTAGTAAGACTTGTATCACTAAGTCATTATTATCCCCCCACTCAAGAAAAAAATCTTACATTCTAAAAATATTTCCTGGCTTTAAATAACCTCCAAAGGATTGATAAGCCGTAAAAAATGAATGAGTCAATCAATATTTGTTATAATGTTGACTATTTCCATGCAGGATCCTGCCATCAACTTCCGCCATCAAGACCAGCTATTCGAGCTCACTAATTATTATTTCCGTTTCATAAAAGTATCTTGGTCAGCCTATGAATTTTTCAGCCGAATCTTGTATATACAGGATGCGCAAAAGTAGGCATACAGTAATGAAAAACAAATGTGTGCATAAAATTATATACAAACATATACCGGTATAATACTTACTGTATATCTACTTTTGCGCCCCCACCTCTATGTGCAATTCGTTGAAATTCACATACATCGGATTATTGGAAAATCAAAATCACGATGACAAGAACAAACTACCGTAACGAACCCGGATGTAACCATTAACAGGGCTTAGATATGCTTCTTCTTCTTTTATGTGCCGTGTCCCTTCAGGACGTAGGCGATCATGGCTCTCCACTTCCTCCTGTTCCTTGTAACTCTCTTTGACTATTTTTCCCAGACCATGTTCTGCTATACACTTGCTTAATCCCGTTAAGTATGTCACCCGTTGCTTCCCCTTGTCCTTCTTTCCCTCTATCGGCCCTGTGAGTATCAGATTTTCCAAGCCCTCCTTTCTTATTACGTATCCCCGAAATTTCAGCTGCTTCTTTCTGATGTTAATTATAAGTTTCCTTTTCCTTTGCATCCTCTCCTAAAACCTCATCGTCGTTCACATATTCGGTCTATGATACCCTCAGCATCCTACTGTAGAACCATATAGCCGTTGCCTCGAGTCTCTTTTTCATCTTTGAGGAGACCGTCTAACATTTGCTGCCGTAAAGGAAGACAGATATAACGTAGCAGTGTAGTACTCTTTTCTTTGTTACCGAAGAAATCCTCCTGTCTTGTAATACTCAGCCTAGCTTTTGGAATCTGTCTTCAGACATCCCATCCGTCTTCGGATCTCAGCGTCGCACTTACCGGCCTCTGTTAGAACATTTCACAGATATTTCAATTTTCGCACCTGCTTGATTCTAGTGTCCCCGTCCTGAAAATCGCATTTCGGCCTCATCTTTTTACTGATGACCATGCAATCTGTTTTTTTATAGTTTATACTTAGTCCCTTCTTCACGCTCTCCTTCGTTTCCTTATGTAGGAGGTTTTGTAGTTTCCTTTCCGTGTCTGCTATCATCACTGTGTCATCTGCGTATCTTATGTTGGTAAGATTGTCGCCGCCAGTGAAGAATCCTGGAAGTTATTGTATTAAAAACAAATATAAAATTTGTCTGAAAATGAAACGTTTTCCCAAACTAATTAGCGGGAAAGGGGTTAATGCCGAGAATCCAGATAAGAAATTAGATTAAAAAAAAATTTTTTTTGACAGTATATCGTGTCTATAATTTTACAATAAAATGTACTGTTGGTCATTTTGCTATAAATGCATTGCTCGGTCCATGACATCCTTAGCATCCTTCTGTAGAACCATATTTCTGTTGCCTTGAGTCTCTTCTTCATATTTGAGGAGACCGTCCAATATTTGCTGACGTAAAGGAGGACAGATATCACGTAGCAGTTTAGTACTCTTTTCTTTGTTACCAAAGAGATCCCCCTGTCTCGTAGTACCCAGCCTAGCTTTTGGAATGCGTCTTTGGTCATCCGTCTTCGGATCTCAGCGTCGCACTTACCATCCTCTGTCAGAACATTTCACAGATATTTCAATTTTCGCACCTGCTTGATTTTAGTGTTCCTTACCTGTAAATTGTATTTCAGGTTCATCTTTTGGCTGATAACCATGCAACCTGTCTTATGTTTAATCCATTCTTAATTAGTCCTTAAAGATAAAGGAGGCTTAGTGGAGTAATTGATAGCAGCTCAGATTGAGGAATCGTAGAGCTGAGTCCGAATTCCATTACATTCACTTATGTGCTAATACCACTGGGAAGGATATGAATCCTCTTCTGCTCTCCCCAGCTATTGGTAAAATAGCAGGACAGACTGGGTTTTATAACCTTGAGTGGCAACCGGTCTAGGAAAAACTGAATTCAAAACGGAGGGGGCTGGGCTCCGTCAGGCCATCTTGTATCACGTAGCAGTTCAGCAGTGCTTAGTTAAATATAAAGGCATCGTATAGGTCTTAATTTATTCGTGAAATTGATAGCGGGTAACCTGAACCGCAGAAATCCATTCTAAGGATAAATGCGTATTCGTTGCGGCAGATTGTAAATATATTGGCGGTTTATAGATATTTACTAAGCTGAGTTTAAACTGGAATAAAGCCGAACCAACTTCTCCATCGGAATGAAGTCGATCAGATTTGTTTTGGATCGAGAGAATGAGTGAATGAGATGAATTCTATTGGGAACGAACGTTCGATCGATCGATCGATCGATCGATCGAGTGAGTGAGATTAAGAGAGAAAGAGGGAGAGAAAGGGAGAGAGGAGGAGAGAAGGGGAGTGAGAAAAGGAGTGGGAGGCAGAGAAAAGAAGAGAGAGAGAGTGTAGGGTTGTAGGCAGAAGAATAAGGGAAAGAGAAAGGGAGTAGAAAGTGAAAAAGAGTGGCAGGTAAGAGAAAAGAAGAGAAAGAGAGGCAAGGGTTGTAGGCGGAAGAGAAAGAGAGAGAGAGAGAAGGAGAGAAAGGGAGGAGAAATGAAAATGAGTGGCAGGTAAGAGAAAAGACGAGAAAGAGAGCAAAGGGTTGTAGGAGGGAGAGAAAGGAAGAAAGAAGGAGAGCAAGGAGAATAAAATGAAAGGGTGTGGGAGATAGGGTAAAGAAGATAGATTGAAGGGAGACAAAGGGAGAAAGAGAGAAAGAGAGAGAGAGAGTGAGGAAGAGGAAGAGAAACGAACTGGGAGTAGGAGGTAGAGAAAAACGAAAAGCAGACCGAAGAGTAGTAGGAGAGAGAGAAGGGGAGAGGGAGAGAAAGTGAGAGAGGTTGAGGAAGGGAGAGAGAGGAGGAGAAAGAGAGAGTGAAAGAGAGTGGGAGGTAAAGAAAAGAAGAGAAAGAGGACGAAGGTGAACAGAAGGCAGAGAAAAGGAGAGAGAATGAGAGCGAGAAGGTGATAAACAGAGCGAGATGGAAAGAAATGTAACGAGAAAGAGGGAAAGGTATAGAGGGAGAGAAAGGGGGCGAGAAAGAGAGGAATATAGCAAAAAAGGGAGTAGACAAAGTTTGTGAGAAGGAGCAACAGAGAGAGAGAAAGAGAGAGAGAGAAAGCGCGAGAAAGAGTGAGATAAGCAGAGAAAGGAAGAGGGAGGGAGCGGAGAGTTAGTCGAGGAGAAAATGGAGGAAAAGAGAGTGGAGCAAGATGGAGTGAAAAGACGGGTAGTGGGGGAGAGAAAATGAGCGACAAAGAGAGAAAAGAAGAGAGGGACAGTAAGAGATGTGGGAACGAAAAGGAGAGGTAGGGAGAGAGAGGAATGCAAATAAGAGTTCGACTTATTCGATTCTAATCACATATTTCGACCGGTTCTCTCGGGAAATATTGCAATTAACCAGAATGAGATTAAGAACATTGAAAAACATGGCGGATACTACTGCAGGGTAAAGTCTGAATTAGTTCAAAAGAGAGAGAGAGAGAGAGAGAGAGAGAAAGACAGAGAAAGAGATACATATCGAGAGAGAGAGTGAGAGAGAGAGGTAGAAAGAGAAAGAGAGAGAGAAAAAAAAAATATATATATATATATCGAGAGAGAGAGAGAACAAAAAGAGACGGAAAGACCGAAAGAGAAAAAGAGAGAGATACAAAAAGAGAGGGAAAGAAAAAAGAGAGAAATATATACTGAGAGAGAGGTAGAAAGAGAAAGAAAGTGAGAGAAAGAAATAGAGAGTGAAAGATATATATATATATATATATATATATATGTATATATAGAGAGAGTGGGATAGAGAAGTAAAGAGAAAAAGAAAGAGAGAGAGAAAAAGAGACAGACATATACACACATATATATATATATATATAGAAAGAGGGGAGAGAGAGAAAGTGAGAGGGAGAGATTGAAAGAGAGTGAAAGATAGAAAAAGACAGGGCAAAGAGAGAGAGAAAGAAAGACAGAAATTTATATGTATAGGGGAGAGAGAGAAGTAGAGAGAGAAGTAGAGAGAGAAAGAAAGAGAGAGAAGTAGAGAGAGAAAGAAAGAGTGAGAGAAAGATACATATATATATAGAGAGAGAGACAGGGAGAGAGAGAGTAGTCACGTTTAGAAATTCAGTGTATACACACACACATATATATATGTATACGTATATCTATATATATAGATAGATAGATAGAGAGAGAGAGAGAGAAAGAGATATAGGGTAGTTAGGGTAAGAAAGAGAGATAGAAATATATATATAGAGAGAGGGCGACAAAGAGAGAAAGAAAATGGCTGGTGAGAAATGCCTAGCATCCATATCGATTCATTGATTTTTTTTTTCGCAGCCTATCATCCTTTTGCAGCATATTTAAAACCGAAACATATTTCAGATTGAAGGACATCATTTACATTACCTGGTGTTCCAAACCAGTCCCCCATTTAAGTATTGGCCAGGCTCGCCACCGCTTAACTTTCAGCGTGATTTGACCGTAAGCACATACAGAATACGTAAAGATTGATTAGTTTTTTACAGGTTATCAACCTTTTGCCGATTATTTAAAGCCAGGAAATATCTTTAATGTTCACTTTTATATTTACATACACTCTGATTTTGAGCACTTTAACCGCAAAATATAGTATATCTATCTATCTATCTATCTATGGTGCGATGGGTAAATTGACGCCATTGTATAATCTTAATTTCGCGTATGCGCGTTGTTTGTTTTTCATTTTGTCAATTGCGCAATATAGTAGGGTAAGTTGGGCACTCTCTGTGAGAAAAAAAAGCACCATGACGCAATTCACTCCGCCAGAAATTTGCAAACGGCATGCTGTATTGCTTGGCGTTCGCGCCGGAAGCCCTAAATTTCAGAGTGTTTGGGTGTCAATCTGAGGACAGTGCAGAGGATTCGGAAAGAGTTGGATGAGTCTAATGGTGATTACGAAGGTACGGCAGCTTTGAAAACTCACTCTGATCGATCTGATAAGAAAAGAACTCCCAAATTTGTTCACGAGGTTCTCAGACACAAAACGGTGTACTACATCATGCGATTTGGGGAGGTAGTTCTGCCCTGGGTCAAGAGGAAGGAAGACCATATATCTGGGAACAGGACTCTGCACCATGCCACACAAGTAGAAGAACCCAGTCATGACTGTCAGACAATTTCTTCGACCACATCACCCCTTATCTTTGTCCACCTAACTCCCCAGATTGCAACCCCCCTGATTATTATGTGTGGGGGCAGTTGAGCGAGAAACTAACAGAACTCTTTGTAACACCAAAAATCAACTGAAGCCAAGGATTATGGCAGCATTCGTCGATTTAAACAAGATCATCCAGAAGTGTTGCCGGGGATTTCGAAGTAGGCTGGAGGCTGTATTTTAAAGCCAATGTTGATCAAGTTGAGATCATAGACAAGGAACACCATTGGAAAATCCGTAAACTTAAGGAAATCAGCACATATGCTAGGCCACAACAATCTCCTGAGCCAACCAAGCATAGAAATGAATACAATAATCATCAGTAATAAGGAGTGCCAGAGAAAAGCGATAATAACAACAAAAGTTGTAATATGAGCTCTGGTAAAAACATGCAATGATAACATCAAAAATTGCAATATGAGCACTAGTAAAAATGGTTGCTAAAGACATTAGTTTTATAATAGCCAGAAATTCATACCACAAGGACACATGACACAGTGGATAAAGGCGTTGGTTAGATCCAATAACAAGACCCAAAGCGTGTTAGTTCAATACCCGGTTAAGGCAGTGGAGAACTTTCAGAGGGAAATTTACAGGAAATAACTGATAATTAACATCCATTAGACATGGCACGTGGAACTAGAACAGTCTACCCCAGTGAGCGAAATAAAGGGTTAAGTTAGACATTCCAACCACCTGAAGAAGGCCGGAGCGTACAACGGCCGAAACGTTGTAATAAATATGGCGACAAAGATGAAGGAAATAGTCCGAATAATGTAAATTTACACTTACGTATTTCGAGATATTTTGGTAAATATATCAGTTAAAAAAACACTGATATATAGAGTAATGGATAGTGGCTCGGATTGATGAATCAGAGAGCCGAGTTCGAATTGCAGTCGAATCCATTACATTCACATATGTGCTAATACCCTTGGGAGAGCGAATTAATTCTCTTCTTCTCCCTCCAGCGTTTGGACAGACTGGATGGCAGCTGTTCTAGGAAACAATTCTGAATTCAAAAGGGTGGTTGGAGACCTCTATTCGGCCCTTTATATATATATATATATATATATATATATATCTCAGTAAGAGACTATAGTAGTTCCAACAAGTGAAAAGTGTGTATATTAAAAAGAAGTGAGAAACCGCAAACGTTTTTGCTTGTAATGTGGATTTAAAAAAAAAAAAATATTATGGTTTATTTTCCATAATTTTGCTACACGTGTTTCCGGTCTCGCGACCGTCATCAGGCAAAGGGTGGAGATTTCCACATATTAAAAATAAATAATTTTTTTTCTCATGTTTTTTGATGTTAAATATTCTCGATATGAGACATTCTCCTTTTTTGGGGGGGGTTAGTGACCGAAATGTCTTTCTTGAACTGGCAGTGAAAAGTTCTGCGTGAAGGGTTATAAAACAATTAAAATTGGTCCGAGAAATGATGGCATAGTTATCGGCATTCTTATCTTTTAATAACCCCTATGTGTTCTTAGATTTGTTTCCATTTTCGTGTGTTTTTGTCAGCATGCGTGTATATATGTATATATTCCCTCTCCATACATACACACTGTCTCACTACGCGGAATTAGTAAACATATTTGTACATACACACACATATACACACATACATACACACGCACATGGTGTACTATCTCTCTCTATATATATATAGCTAGATGTATATTTGGGCAGAAAATCCTCTTTAATACGGGCGGTAACGTGTAATTCGGATCCACAATAATTTCTTTTCAATTACCTCTAGAATAATTTTAAAAAATAAGCATTACCGCCCGCCCATTAACCGTTGCGATAATGCAATAGACCCTGCGACCATCGACCAGCATATAATTATATAAGTAGTCGAATCGACACACAACACATAGTGTGAAGTTTGACAGACTGTCGCCGCTTGGTGTTGACCTCAGTGTTCACTTTTAAATTTACATAAGTTCTCTCACTGATATTGATATTCATAAATATAACATACATTAAAACTAATTTTTTTTTTAATCATTTTTATACTTTACAGCACTCAGTTTATGGAATTTATCAAATCCCTAGTAGCTATTATTAAATAAAATGTACAGTACACATTAAATAAAATATTACTCACGACAGGACAAAGTATCTTGGAGTTCATATATATATATATATATACCCAAGTATATAATTGGTATATATGGAATGAATTCCAATAACCAACAATTACTATTCTTAAAAGAGTGCTCAATGCAAATTTGAGCAGATATAATTATTTTTTATAAAAAAATTATAACATAAGTATGTTATAAAATCACTACAAAAATAGCCATTTTGTTTCAACACACTCTGTGTCTTATCAAGTGATGATGTTGAAAATAAAATAAATGGTTTTAAAAGTTTCAGATTAATTAACGATCCTACACTAGGGGGAAACATTGTTACAAAAGCTAGAATAACCAATCAAAAACGAAGTATAGAAAGATTCAAAAGCTTGACAACGAAATCATGTTATAATAGCTATTCAGATCTTTAAATACGTGTAATATTAAAAATAATTTATACTAACCAATAATTGTAAAATTATATGATAAAATTTAATATTAAAATTAAAAACTGGCAATTTTAAAATCCAAATTTAATCACTATTAAGTTTCAAAACTACAAAATTATTGAGAAAAGAAAGAATATATATGTTTATTCAATTCATTTCTTACGTTCGACAAGACGCTACAATATATCCAGTCATTTGACAATACATGTATATATATCTTTTTCTTTTCCCTTTCTTTTCCTATTTTAATGTGTGTGAATGTGGTCTTAAACTCACGCGCAAAACAACAAAAACACAATCAGATTATAATACATAAGCACCCAGACATAATTAGATATACACACACACACACACACACACATACACACACACACACGCACACATACACACACACTCAAAAAAAAAAATATACTAATGTTAGGCAAGTGGATTTTCTAGATGTCACCCTAGATCTTGCTAACAACATTTTCCAACCATATGTGAAGGTTAATTCCAACCCATTATACGTGCATCCTAATTCCAACCACCCCCCCTTCAGTTATCAAACATATACCCTCTTCCACTGAATTTAGAATTAGCGCTAACTCTTATAATAAGGAGGTTTTCAATAAACATAGTGATTTTTATAATTCTGCACTAAAAAATAGTGGATACAAAAATACCACTAATCAATATAAAAACCCTGTTAATTGCAACCATAATAAGAAAAGAAGATCTAGAAAGATTATTTGGTTCACTCCCCCTTTCAATATAGTGGTTAAAACTAAATTAGGGCGTATATTTCTAAACCTCATCAA